AAGCTCAGGGACAGTGCCCAGGTGCTGAGTTCAAACCCCAGGACTGGCAATAAATAAATAAATAATACATTTTAAAAGATGCTAAGAGTATAGAACTTAAAATTTAAAGATTAGAGCATGTGGTTAGAAGAACTCACTCACTCCTGGATTAGATATTAGAGGAATTTAATTTAAAAAATACAGTATTTCTTCTGATAATATAACCATCAACAACTAAAGCAACAGGGTACAATATTAAGAAATAGAGACTGAGAGCTGGGCACCTGTGGCTCATGCCTATGATTCCTAACAACTAGGAAGCTAAGATCTGAGTATCACAGTTCAAAGCCAGACTAGGCAGGAAAGTCCATGAGACTCTTATTGCCAATAAACCACCAGAAAACCAGAAGTGATGGTGTGGCTCAACTGGTAGAGTGTTCCTTGAGCTGAGGACCTGAGGGACAGCACCTAGGCCCAGAGTTCAAGCCCCACAACTGACCAAAAAAAAAGAAATAGAGAGATTGAGGTTGGAGTTCTATTTTGACTGTGTTATGTTTGAAATTCTCTTCATATCCAACTAGTTAGTTTCTCACAGTTTGTTTATGTAGTAAGTCAGGAGGTATAGAAGACATTGAAAGTTAGGCTATGTAAGGTCTTCTCAGGCAGAGAATGCAAGTCATAAAAAGAAGGAACTCAAGATCAAACCCTGAAAAAAATCACAATATTTGGGTGTTAAGCAGAAAGGTAAGAGAAGAAATAATCTGAGATATGAAAAAGTCAAAAACTGCTTTGCACCAAGTATAAAAAAAAATCTCAGTGAACTTGGTTTTGGTTTGATTTTTTTTCCCCTGGACGATTCTTACTGGATTTCTAGCCTTCGCTAGTAAGTGCTACTTGGAATTATTTAAGATTAAGTGAATGCTATTTGCAGTTTTAGGAGTTTATATCACACTTGGAATATTGAAGATGAATAGAATGATCAAATGACAGAAATGTCGTGGGTCAACTGTTGTTTTTCTTTTGTTGTTTTTGTTGTTTGGTCATGGGGCTTGAACTCTGGGCCTGGGTGCTATACCTCAGCTCTTCAGCTCTGGGTAAGCATGCTACTTCTTGAGCCACAGCACCTCTTCCAGTTTTCTGGTGGTTCATTGGAGATATGAGTCTCACTGACTTTCTTGCCAGGGCTGGCTTTGAACCACGATCCTCAGATCTCAGCTTCCTGAGTAGCTAGGATTATAAGTATGAGCCACTGGAGCCTGACTCTGTGGGTGAACATTTTTATTAGTAGGTAGCAAGCAGGAGTTCTGCCTTAGAAAAGATCTTCAGGGAAACAGGTTATATCCCAGGTCATATCTACGGGGGCAGACTACAAGGGCAATTTTAAAGACTCTGAGTTGATGGGAGTTGTAAACCTCCCCTTGACCCATTCATTATTTTGTTGTTGTTGCTGTTGTTTTCCTCTCTCTCTCTCTCGTGCGATTGTGTCCCTTTGCACCATTGCATTAACTTCATGGTTCCCTGATGTTCATTTCTTGAGTCTCCTCAATTCCTGTGCTCTCCTTAATTGGTCTCTGCTATGTCGGTGCCTGAGGCTATGCTCAACCATTGGGAAGTTCCTGAAAATAAGAAACCATATCTGATATGTCCTAACTTTCCTAACTGAACTTTTCTGTCCCTGCAGGACATATAACTTTGGATCCTGAAACAGCTCATCCTTGCCTGGTCTTATCCAAGAACCTGAAAAGTGTGAGACTCAGAAATATCCAGCAGGATGTGCCTGGAAAGCCATGGAAGTGTGACTTTAGTGCCACTGTGTGTGCTGCAGAGAGCTTTTCCTCAGGGAAGCACTACTGGGAGGTGAACGTGGCAATGGCATCCAGGTGGCAACTGGGTATATGCAGTGTTACAGACAGAAAGGGCAACAGGATGGAAGCATCTGGAAATAAAGTCTTACTCATGGGATCCATGATGGGGACTGATTACACCTCATGGGTCTTTCCTCCTTTAAAAAAGATTTACTTGGGGAAGCAAATGCATAGAGTTGGAGTCTTCCTGGACTACGAGTATGGGCAGCTGTCATTCTACGACGTGACAGAGAGCTCCCTCATTTATCATTTCTCTCACCTCACCTTCCAAGGAAATATTAAGCCTGTGTTTGCTCTTTGTACTTCAAGTGGAGACTTGAATTCAGATTCTCTCACTGTCTGAAATGTTTGCGGTGAACTCTTCATCTCCTGCTAAATATAAGATCACAGGAGATCAGAAAACTAAGGGCAAATCTCTATGAAGTAATTTATCTAAAGTAATTCAATGTGATACTCCAAATCCCTGGCATTGATGTGGTTTCCAACACCTATTTAATGGAAGAGATTGTATTATAAATTATAATAACTCTATACACTAATTAGAACAACAAATGCATGCGCATCATGAACAGGAGATAGTAGAGAAGAAATATTAAGAATCTGAAGATCTTAGTATTAGCAGTGGGAAGGACTATAGACATATTTCTGAAAACACAGGCAGACTTAAGTATATTCAGGACTGAAAAACAAGATGCTATGAGTGTAGCCATCTAGGGCCATACTGAATGGAAGTGGTCACATTGAAACATCTTATTGCTAACAGTGAGTTTCAAGGCTTCTTAGCACTTATCCTTACGTGTAAAGAAGAGTAGCAATCTCCCCGGAGATTTTTATCTGATAGCAAGGTGGTGTCTCCCTCTGTAAATACTCACGAATACTCTGGTAGATCAGGGAAGCTTTTGAATAAATAGACTATCATGGTGGATCTAGATAATTATAATCTTGTTTATTTGACTACTAGAGACACACCTTAAATTGACCTCTTAAAAATGTTAACAACTTCAAAAATATTTCTTTTCTCTTTTTTTTTAAACTTCTCAACTTTATGTACCTCAATTCCTGGTACCAGAAGAAACAATAAAGTAAGAAATAGACAATGATAGTTGGTGTGTTCAGTGGACCTAGCTTTTTGTGTGGCCTCCAAGTTTACATTTCAAAAGGTAAAGATAGGGAGGTGATGTTGTAGACTAGAAGTAGTAGGAAGCAAACTTAGATGAACCTTGTTTGTAGCCTCTTAAGTCACAGGCTAGCCTGCATACTATAGTTCAAGATTACCAATTAGAGGTTGTTTTAGGAAGATGGCTTGTTCTTAACTGAAAGACAGGGTAGTTTGGCTGGAACAATCAACCTCTTTAAGGCTCAAAGAAGAAAAAAGAAGTGGTTTTGTTTTGTTTTTGTTTTTTTTTTAATCTTGTATAACAAGATAAAAAGAACATCAATTCATGAAGACTAGAGAAAGAATTTAAAACTTTGATTTGTTGGATTTCCTGAGTGGAATGTGATAAAAACACTATCAACGGGACCCTGAAGCTTAAAAAAAAAAAGGACATAGGTGGGCAATGAGAATAGATGGAGATAGTTGTATTGTAATTGTTGTCTTGACAAATTATGAAGTGCTTAAAGAGAATGAAACTTCTGCCCTGGAGAGTATCAAGTGTGAGACAGAACTTACCTCCACATAAGCATTCTAGATAGCAATAAATTAATGCAGTAGGAAGTATAAAAAGAAAAGGTATTAAATGTGAAATTACATACATTTTTAAAATAATAATTTCTTGTAGACTTGCTATCTACCAGATACAATTCCAAGTGCTTTTTGTTACCTAAAGTAGTTCTTTTAACTCGCAGAGACCTTTTTTCTTAATTTTGTTGAGGTGGAAATAGAGCCAGTAAGTTCACAATCACCAAATAGTGATAGTTCCAAATCCTTGAAAAAACAGCCTCTATTCACAGATTTATCTCCATAAAGGTATTCAAGGTCAGATGACTGAGGTTGCCTGGAGGGGAAGGTGAAAGTAACTGGAGGTTGGCAAAGATATGACAGTTAAAGCCAGATGGAGTAGCTCATACCTGTATTCCCAGCATTTAGGAATAGAGGCAGAAGGACTAGTCTAGGATAGATAATAGTGATACCAGGTCTCAAAAATGAAACAACAAGAATTTTAATAGTTAAAACTACATTTTTAAATGCAATTGAGGAAAATATTTCTGTAAAATGTTTTTTAAATGTATTTACATTTGTATAATAAAACTTTGAATGAAATACAGGTTAAAATCTTACTTGAATAAGCCTTTTTTTTTTCTTCTGAGTGTTTTAATGGACTTTGTGTTCAACCTAAGACACAGCCTAATCAGCTAAAGATGTCCCAGTAATTGTGTTTCTTGTCTCAGATAGGAGAGCTATGTGGCCATTCTTAATACCTGTTTGGAAAAGGGGGTGGTTTGGGGGAGGGAAGGGTCCCTGTGCTGATTTTTACAACTCTTGTCATTATTCTTTGTCATGTAGAACTTCTGTAGCTGAAAGCTATTCTGATAAGAGTCAAAGTTTCAAATAACAATGAAGTTTAATCTGGGAGCTTATAGACAAGTGAATTCTCTGCCTGTTGCAGATGATTGCTCAAACAGAAAAAGTAATTTCTGAGTTCGTAGTATGTTGGGGATGTGAAGGAGGAATACAACATTCTCCACCTCCTTAAAACCTCTCCCAAGATGCTTATGAGCATCTTTCCCTCCTGACCCATGTTTTTATTGATTTCAATTTGCTTTCAGAGTACAGTTACATTTATGTGGAATCCTGGTCAAGATGAATTGTTTCATAAAAATAAAAACTTATTTCCTTAACTTAAGCCTCTTTCATACTTCCAAATTATTACATTAGCTTCCCTTTTTTACTTTAACTCTTCCGGAATCTATTATAAAGCAAGCTGTCCTCTAATAAACACTCTTAGGCCCACATTGTTCTGTTTTTGACATGTTTCTTTATGGGTTCAATCAGAACCTACTGAATTTCTAAAGTTGTCAACCTCTTAGGAGTCCCAAGCTTTATATAAACGTCGAGATCTGACTTTGATGATGCACTTGGAAATCATCATTGACTCCAAATTTGCTTTGCTCCCATTCTCCGTTAAATCCATTAAGATTTTTTTTCCTTTCTTTTTATTACATTAGTCCAAGTTCTGTCATTCATGTCAATTTCTTCTACTTCCTCTTATTTCTCTTCCAATCTTGCCTTACTCAAACATGCTCAGAGAAAACCATTCCCTAAATACTCTCCCTAATCCTGCCTCTCACTCCATAAACTCTTATCATTCATTATTTTCTTTATAGCCTTAAGGATTACCTGAATTCATGCTACTCATTTAATTTATTTACCTTCTTTTTCTGGCTTATAAACTCCCTGTGCCAAGGGCTTTGAATAGTAAATAAGACAACCAACAAATATTCATTAAGCAATTGCCATATGCCAGGTATTTATTTTACAAGAAAGAACAAAACTGATTCCTCACATTAATGAGCAGATGAACCAGTTTGACTTGAGAACTTTGAAGTATAATTTGTCTAAGGAACTGTTTGTTTTGTCAAGATGATAGATTTTTAATGAAATCGACTTCTCTAGCATGTATACCTATAATATTTCATCATGATCCATTGGCTATTATGGTTTACTGATTATGTCTCCTGAATATTTGAAAATAAAAGATGAAGATATTACCAAAATGATGGTGAGAGAAAATTTCCAAGATTACAGTAACAGCTAGCAGAAGATAAAGCCAAAGACAGGAGATTCACACAAGATACCTTAAAAAAAAAAAGTTAATAGAACTGATTATCTGATAGATGTTTGACTATATTAAGAAATGTTTTATAAACCCATAGGAAAGTATGGGAATGAATTTGCATTTGGTATGTTAAAAAAAGGAAAAATTAAACATAGAAAAATGAGATAATTATAATCTTCACTTAAAAAAACTAAGTTGTTGATTAGTGAAGAGCCTATTTGCTCAGCTCTAGATATTTTTGGTCACATATGAGGTAGAAAATGATTTTTTCAAATAGTATGAATACAATATAATGAAATGATAGTTGAAGGGAAGTTGGCCATAGAGAGTAAAGAGTGTCAATCTTTGTTTCATAATCGAAAATTTGATAATACCTAAAAACTGAAAGTTTGGGGGCTGGGAAGGTGGCTCAGTGGTAGAGTGCTTGCCTTGCATGCATGAGGCCCTGGGTTCGATTTCTCAGCACCACATAAGCAGAGAAAGCCGGAAGTGGGGCTGAGGCTCAAGTGGTAGAGTGCTAGTCTACAGCTGAAGAGCTGAGGGACAGTGCCCAGGCCCAGAGTTCAGGCCCCTCGACCGACAAAAAAAAAAAAAACTGAAAGTTTGAAATATCATGCAAATTCAAGAGTCAACTAAGCTGAATATTCCTCATACCTATGTAGCTAGAGAGAAGAGATGGTTTTGGATCTGTAGTTTTGCTTTGATTTTTTTTTTTTTTTTTGCGGGTCATCGGCCTGAATTCTGGGCCTGGGTGCTGTCCCTCAGCTCTTTAGCTCAAGGCTAGTGCTCTACCACTTGAGCCACAGTGCCACTTCCAGCTTTTTCCGTTTATGAGGTGCTGAGGAATCAAACCCAGGGCCTCATGGATGCAAAGCAAGCACTCTACCACTAAGACACCTTCCCAGCCCCATGCTTTGATTTTTAAAATACACTATTTATGTATTTTTGATCTTAGTAAAGTATGGGGTTTTTTTTTGGTAAAAATGTAAATTAAATTAAAAGAATGAAGACTGGGTAAATGGTGTGCTATTTTACTTTCAGACAACCGAGAAAATTTGCATGTCAAAAGTCAGGAATATTAAATTATTTCTATGACAACTATTCTAGGAAGGATTTTTTTTTAGGTTTTCTGACTGAAATGTTATCAACATTTATGATTGTCCTATGAAAATCTAGGAAGTAGAAGCATAGCTCAAATGGTAGAGTATCTTCTTTGAACAAAATAGCCAAGAATGCATGAAGTCCTGAGTTAGAGCCCAGTACCAGGGTGCATGCACACACACACACACACACACACACACACAAAGAAAGGGAAAGAGTGAAGGAAAGAGTAGAAGGAAGGAAGGAAGAAAGAAAAAGGAAAGAAGGACCCATGTGCTTTTAGAAGGGAAAAAATGGAAAACCACTGAATTAAGGAGAAAAAATAAGACAAAGCAAACCCAAAAAGTCAAGACAGTGAAGACCCATGGCACTTTTTCATAAATGATTCAATCTTGAGCAAATAAAGTGAAATATGGTTTTAAAAATGAATCAGTAAACATTTAATTGCTGTAGACTTATAGAAGTTGGCACATATGAGCAACTTTATAAGATAAAAACAATCTAATACAGGGAATTATTCTCTAAACAATGCATTTTTTTAAGAAGAGAGAAGAAAAATGTATAAAGCTTTTCCAACTTGGAATTGGCACAGAGCCCCTTAATAAGTTACCCAGTGACAGACTTTGTCCCCAGATACCCTAAAATGTCTCCTTTATCTTGTGTTTAGCTGAAGACTTGTGTTGCTAGGCTATTTGCCATTTGAATAGCTACAAATAAGTTGGAAGCATTAGTTTGAATATGGATGGTGAGAATTACTTTGAAAATTTTGGTAATTATTATTATTATTATTATTGTCAGTCATGGGGCTTGCACTTGGCCTGGGCACTATCCCTTAGCTCTTCAGCTCAAGGCAAGCACTCTACCACTTTAGCTACAGCACCACTTCTATTTTTCTGAGTGGTGGGCTTTGAACCAGGATCCTCAATCCTCAGATCTCAGCCTCCTGAGTAGCTAGGATTACAGGTGTGAGCCACTGATGTCTGGCTAATTTAATTTTGTGTGTGCATGGATCTTGATCTCTGAGCCTGCCTGAGCCTTGTCCCTCAGCTTTTGTGCCCAAGACTGGTGTTCTAACCACTCGAGGAACAGCTCCACTTTTGGCTTTTGGGTGGTTCATTGAAGATAGTCTCACAGACTTTCCTGCCTGGGCTGGCTTTGGACTACAATTCTCAGATCTCCGCTTCCTGAATAACTAGGATTACAGGCATGAGCCACGCACAAGGCCTTATTTTGAATATTTAAAGTTGATAAAAGGAGCAGCTTGTTGATACTTTGTAAATGAAGGGAGTAATCTCTAGGGTGGGTGTCCAAAAACACATCTAGGGACTGACTGTATTGTGTTCTAAGAGTATAGATTCATTCTACTGACAGTTTCTAAATACATCAGGCTCACACATCTGTAGAATTTTTAATTTATTTTACTATTGAGTAGTTGTCCAAAGAAGTTACAGTCCCATAAATCAGGTTATAAGT